AGTAGGTTAGGCAGGAGTTGGGGGGAGGACACCCAGGGATGGAGAATGGGGGTTGGGAGCACATCAGCCAATAGGAGAGGTGGGGGCAGACACATGAGCCAAGCAGGCATAGCAACAGTCAGCAGGGGCGGGGCGGAACCTGGCCTATGGAGCATGGGAGCCAATATGAGCCAGGGGTGGGGGTGCTTGTGCAGAGCCAGGCAGGGGATACATGGGAGCCAATAGGAGGCAAGCTAAGAAGGGGTGGGGTGCTTGTGCAGAGCCAGGCAGGGGATACATGGGAGCCAATAGGAGGCAGGCTGACTAAGCAGGGGTGGGGCGCTTGTGCAGAGCCCTGCAGGGGAAGGAGGTGCTGACTCAGCAGGGGTGGGGCATTTGTGCAGAGCCCTGCAGGGGAAGGAGGTGCTGACTCAGCAGGGGTGGGGAGCTTGTGCAGAGCCAGGCAGGGGAAGGAGGCAGGCTGACTAAGCAGGGGTGGGGCACTTGTGCAGAGCCAGGCAGGTGCAGAGGAAACATAGGAGCCAATAGAAGCCAGTCCTGATGAACTGCAGGCGGGGCCAGGCGCAGCATGGGGGAGGTAAGCTGTAATGGAGGCTGCTTCACGCAGCATCTCACAGGGATCTGGTTGGTGCTTTAAAATCGAACAATCTTCAGACATTTCTGTTCAGTCAATACTGTACATGCTGAGTGATGTGTCTGTGTCCCCCTTCCAGGTATTTGTTATCTCTCACAGGGATCACAGAATGCCCCCCTGCCAATGCCTTTGTCCGCTTTTCTCTCCAGAAGGATGGCTCCATCTTTATTCAGGCATACAAGGTCACCATCTACTTCCTGGACTGTCATGGTGGCTCAGAGATGACGCAATCAATGGGAATCATAGTGCCTGTGCAATTCTTGGCTGTGATCACAAGTGTCAGACACAGATCAGCCCCTGCTGCAGCCTTTTACCTCTCTATGGCAGCCATTTTCAGCCAGGTGGTCTTAGAACCTGGGAGGTTCCTCAAGCAATGGCAAATAGATTCCCCCACCTACGCCAACTACCATTGCAGGGGATTACTCTGCAATGACCACCAGTAGGTGGTGAGGGGGGGGGGGGGGGGGGGGAGGGGTACTTCTACACTGATGCAGGAGGGGAGGCCTCTACCCTGACCACCAATAGGAGGGGGGAGGGGAGACCTCTACCCTGACCACCAATAGGAGGGGGGAGGAGAGACCTCTACCCTGACCACCAATAGGAGGGGGGAGGAAAGACCTCTTCCCTGACCACCAACGGGGGGGGGGGGGGAAAGAGACCTCTACCCTGACACCAACGGGGGGGGGGGGGGGACACTCTACCCTGACACCAACGGGGGGGGGGGGGGGGGGGGGAGACCTCTACCCTGACACCAACAGGGGGGGGGGGGGGGGACCTCTACCCTGACCACCAACAGGGGGTACGGAGGACCTCTACCCTGACCACCAACAGGGGGGGGGGAGGACCTCTACCCTGACCACCAACGGGGGGGGGAGGGGGACCTCTACCCTGACCACCAACAGGGGGGTACGGAGAGACCTCTACCCTGACACCAACAGGGGGGGGGGGGACCTCTACCCTGACCACCAACAGGGGGGGGGGAGACCTCTACCCTGACACCAACAGGGGGGGGGGGGAAGAGACCTCTACCCTGACACCAACCCAACGGGGGGGGGGGGGGGGGAGACCTCTACCCTGACACCAACGGGGGGGGGGGGGGACCCTCTACCCTGACCACCAACAGGGAGGGGGGGGGGGATGGAGGGGGGGGAGAGAGACCTCTACCCTGACACCAACGGGGGGGGGGGGGGGGGGACCTCTACCCTGACACCAACGGGGGGGGGGGGGGGGAGGACCCTCTACCCTGACCACCAACAGGGGGGGGGGGGGGGGGAGACCTCTAATGGAGGGGGGGGGGGGGGGAGACCTCTACCCTGACACCAACGGGGGGGGGGGGGGAAGAGACCTCTACCCTGACCACCAACAGGGGGGGGGGGGGGGGGGGGGGGGGAGACCTCTAATCCTGACCACCAACGGGGGGGGGGGAGAGGGGACCTCTACCCTGACCACCAACAGGGGGGGGGAGAGACCCTCTACCCTGACCACCAACAGGGGGGGGGGGGGGGGTACAGGGGGGGGAGAGACCTCTACCCTGACACCAACGGGGGGGTACAGAGAGGGACCTCTACCCTGACACCAACGGGGGGGGGGGGGGGGAGACCTCTATGACCAGGGGGGGTACAGAGAGACCTCTACCCTGACACCAACGGGGGGGGGGGGGGGGGGGGGGTTGAGACCTCTACCCTGACCACCAACAGGGGGGTACAGAGAGACCTCTACCCTGACCACCAACAGGGGGGGGGGGGGGGTGGATGGAGGGGGGGGGGAGAGACCTCTACCCTGACCACAAACGGGGGTGTGTGTGTGTTGAACTCTACCCCGACCACCAATGGGGGGGGGGGGGGGAGACCTCTACTACATTTAGTTGGGGTTCCCCAAGACGTGAGCAATATTTAAGGGTTCCTCCGGGGGAAGGTCGCTCGATGGAGTCGCAGTGACAATGGGTTTTGGGTGCCGCATTGTAGGAGGTGAAGGATTCCCGCCTACAATGACCACAATGGAATTGGCAGGAGATCCTCAGCAGATGAGTAAACACATCAATGTTTGCATGTGGAGGCCTTGTAGTCTCAGCCAAAGAAGCTGCAGATGTGCAGAGCCCTCTCCGAAAAATAAAACACGGCTTAACCTAATAGAGTCCGCCTCCTGATCCGGCCTTCCATCCCATGTGTGTTCAATAAAAATGTCCCCCCCACCCCCACACACCCCCATACATTCCTTCCTAAGATCAGAAACAGATGGAAGAGAATACTAATCCACCCTAAACTAACAGACTTCATAGAGCAGCCGGTCAGTGCCGGGGCCCCATCTGCTACCAGCCCCCTTATAGGGCCCGATCAGTCAGTCAGTCTTGACAAACAGTTTTGTACCATTCAAAGAGCCTCAGGAGCAAAACTGGTCAGAAAGAAATGACCCCCAGAAGCCATCCCTTTAAAGGGATATTAAATCCGGAAAAGGAGCCAACCTGCAGGTCTGTGGAAGACTCCTGTTCCTCAATTGTGGTTCCCAAAAAACAGATTTTACTTTTGACACGACTAAACCTGAAGGTCCCGAATGAAACCCCTCCCTACCCTACTGCCAACCACTTCACCACCAAGCCTCCAACCAACCTCCACACCCTACCCCAAACAACCTCCCTGCCCTGCAACCAACCTCCTCCCCACCTCACCAACCACCTGCCCTGCAGTCAACATCGACCCCACCCTATCTCCAACCACCACCACGTAGCCTCCATCTCCCTGGACTACCAACTAACCTCCTCCCCCCCCCAACCCTTCCCCCCCCCCCCCCCCCCCCCCCCCCACTACCTTACCTCCAAGTCTCCAACCACCTGCCCTGCAACCCCCCCTCCTCCCCACCCCACAACTTCACCATCAAGCCTCCAACCACCTGCCCCCCAACCAACCCCCCCCTCCCCACCCTACAACTTCACCATCCTGCCTCTAGTCACCTTACCATCTGCCTGACCTGCAACCAACCTCCTTTCCACCCCCCCCAATGCCAGCCTCCTCCCACCCCCAAAAAAAACCATCTCCCTCTTTCACCAATCCACCTCTCCACCCTACCACCAACTACCTTCCCCCCCCCACCACCAACCAACTACCCCCCCACCCCACAGCCAGCCACCTTCCCAACACCCCCACCTCCCCCCACCCCTACCATCACCCCACCTCTCCAATGTCAGCCCCCTCCCCAACCACCACCCTATAGTCCCAACCACCTTCCGTGCCCAACCATCTGGTCGCCTTACAGCCAATAACCCATCTCTTGGCCAAACTGCCAGCCACCACCCCCCCCCCCCCCCCCCCACCCTACCATCCCCCTTCCACCTTCTCCTGGATCAGGTCCGTCAAAAGTGACACCACTGCAGAAATGGCTCAATGAGATTTTCATGGCGGTGAACACGAGCAACATAGCCAGACTGTGGGCATTAGCCCCCCCCCCTTCCCCAGGCCCCCCTCAGTCCCCTAATCCAACTCAAAAAGTAGAGCCGCAGACATAATAAAGCAGAATTGTTTTTATTATTAGGCACCAGGTTAAGTACACCATGATTCCAGATTTGGGTTTTCCATATATATAAAAAAAAAAAAAAAAAGAAAAAAAAAAAAAAAAAAGATAGTTGGGTAGAAAAGTAAGATGGCCCCAGTGGGACGCGGCTGCTCTCCGGTTGTGGTTTAGGCTTGGTTTTGCCCCCCCCCCCCCCCCCACAGCGCTGGTCCCACAGGGAACGTCTACCCCCCCCCCCCCTGAGCGTATAAATCCTCTGAGCGTGTGAATAGGCACCCCCCCTGATCCGACAGATAAAACGGAAGAAAAAAAACGCCATCTCTCCAATCCGGTGACAGTGAGAAAAATAAAAAGCCCCCCCCCTCTAATCTGGGACACAGACATTGTATAAATATGTACAAAAGTCACAATTATATACACACACATATAGAATATGTACATTCATACACAGGGCAGTCTCCATGCTATGGTAGAAAGGTCCCCCCGCAGAGTGGGCGGAGCTACACCGCTCTCCCAGAAGGGCAGCAGCGTCACTCCCAGTGTTCTGTCCCTTTAAATTACACAGGTGTACACGGCCCATGTCTACCCCCCCCAGTGCTAAACAACGAGACCACTCTGGGTGCAGAACCACAGAAGGGAGAGAGGGGGGGGCGATAGACACTTGGTGAGACTAGTGCAACCAGCCACCAACGGCTGAAAACAGGAGAAAGAATTGCCACGGGTGCAAGGAATAACTTCAGACATTATTCGTAAACTGTGTCCTCTACAGCGGAGGGATGACCGCGCTCCCCGGTCCCCCCCCAACCCCTGTCAGTGGTTTCACCAATACGTGTTCCTGCGTCGTCACGCAACCCCCCCGTCATCACCAGACTTCACATTTCTTCACCGGGTTCATCTGAGAGCCCCCCGGACACTGGAAATGCCTGGCGAATTCTCGGGAGTTGGAAACGGAGCCGATGACACGATAGCGGGAAGGGCTGTGGGGGTCAGTGATGATACCTTCGTGTGAGCTCTCTGGAGTGCGCACTGAGCACCACACCTACAATCCGGCAAAGAAATACCCCCAGATGTTAGAGCCACTCCCCCCAGGTGAGACATCGAAGCCAAAACCACATACGCCACCCCCCCCCCAGCTGCCAACACACACCTACCACAGGAGGTCAAAACACTTCCCCCCCCAACCCAACCACCAGACCCCTCCATGTCACCAACCCTCTCCAAACCAACAACCCACCTTCCCCCCACCCTGTCCTGCCACCAGCCACCTTCCCCCCCCCCCCCTACCACCAGACACCTCCATGCCACCAACCCTCTCCAAACCAACAACCACCTTCCTTACCCCCCCTACCACCCCCCCCACCTCCATGCCACCAACCCTCTCCAAACCAACAACCACCTTCCCCACCCCCCCTACCACTACCCACCCCATGTCACCAACCCTCTCCAAACCAACAACCACCCCCCCCCCTGCCCTACCACCAGACACCTCCCCCCCCCAACCCTCTCCCAAACCAACAACCACCTTCCCCACCCCCCCCCTACCACTAGACACCTCCATGTCACCCCCCCTCTCCAAACCAACAACCCCCCTTCCTTACCCTGCCCCCACTAGACACCTCCATGTCACCAACCCTCTCCAAACCAACAACCACCTTCCCCCCCCCTGTCCTGCCACCAGCCACCCCCCCACCCTGCCCTACCCTCCATGCCACTAACCCTCTCCCAACCAACAACCACCTTCCCCCCACCCTGCCACCAGGCCTCTCCCAACCAACAACCACCTTCCCCCACCCTGCCACCAGGCCTCTCCCCAACCAACAACCACCTTCCCCCACCCTGCCACCAGGCCTCTCCCCCACCCTTCCCCCACCCTGCCACCAGCCTCTCCCAACCAACAACCACCTTCCCCCACCCTGCCACCAGGCCTCTCCCAACCAACAACCACCTTCCCCCACCCTGCCACCAGGCCTCTCCCAACCAACAACCACCTTCCCCCACCCTGCCCTGCCACCAGGCCTCTCCCAACCAACAACCACCTTCCCCCACCCTGCCCTGCCACCAGGCCTCTCCCAACCAACAACCACCTTCCCCCACCCTGCGACGCTACCAGCCACCCCCCCCTCCCCACCACCAGCCACTTCCCCACCCTGCTACGCCACCAACCACTATCTGCCCTACTGCCAGCCACCTCCTCATTCGACTAAACACCCCAAGCCAACACACACCTAACACATGCCCACCCTAGCTGTCAAGACTCACCCGCGCTCGCCCCAGCTGCCATAGATACATCCACCCCAGCTGTCAGCAGCCTCCTGCCTGCTCCAGTCAGCAAAACACACCACCCCCACTGACCATACTGACTTGTTTCAATCGCCCAACTGTCAGTCATCCACAAAAGTGGCCCAGAAACCTCCTCTTCCATCATAGTCACCCACACACACCCTGAGACCCAGCCAGGATCTTCATCACTTAATCAACTAAAATTAAAACAAACAATTTCAGCACACTGCAATACCACCAAACAGCCAGCAGGTGAACCTTGACAACTACAAGCAACAATCCGCATTCTGTCTTTTCACACAACTGGATAGAACAGCAGAGGCGCAGACTCAACCTATCCAGCATGGGGGCCCCCAACCCAACATTTCAGCCGGTTTGGAGTTTACAGATTTAGTGCTAGGAGTAAGCTGTGATGGTCTGATGGGTCTACAGGAACACGAACAAAAACACACAAAAGGCTTCTATTCAAAAACATCAGGCATGAAAACACAATACAAGTTATGAGAGCGATGGTCCTCACCTGGGCGAACCCCACAAAGAAGAGCTGATTGTTGGAGAGCCCCAGTGACGGCAGCTCCTTCTCCTCTCCATTCTCCTTCACCCAGTTCTGGTATGCCTGGAAGACACAACCCACCATGTCACCCGGGGACATCAGACCAGGTCACCATCACCACAGGACACGCGGCCACCATCACCACAGTCACCAGGCCAGAGACTGGAGTCACCCAGCAGACTAGTAAGGACATTGTATTATCCGTCCATTAAAATGATAATCTGAGCATGTATTTATCTGACTTGTTGAGCAGTACAGACCACAAGCCAGGCAACCAGCATTTCTAAAGAGTTCAGCAATGGAGACCCACACAGACGTCTGATAATAGATGTATCGCTCACCCGATAAGCAGCTTTGAGTCCGCCATTATCCGCAATGTTCTCGCCCAACGTGTGCTTCCCATTGATGGCCTCTCCATTCACCTTGTAGCTGCTGTATTGCTCGGTAATGCACTCCGTCTGCTTCTTGAAGGCCTCCACCGAGGAGTTCTTCCACCAGGGACGGAGGTTCCCATCCTTGTCATACTCTCTGCCTACATAGGAAGAGTCAAAGGAAGGGGCAGAGTCAAGGGTGGGGGTCCTCAGAGTCAAAGGGGGGAGGAGCGGCATTCCAGGTGGGAAGAATTCGGGATCACACAACCAGCAGTACCTTGGTCATCAAACGCATGAGTCAGTTCGTGTCCCATCACCACTCCAATCCCGCCGAAATTCAGGGCCCTGCAGAGGAAAAGTCTACATCATTATCAAGGGTGAAGGAAAGCAGAAACCATCAACAAAGCTGATCTGACCCCAAGCGGAAGGACAAGGAAAGGGTGGGGGATTATAAGGGGAAACCCCGCTCATAGCTTGACATTAATCCTGAGAAGATCTTACGTTGGAGATGAGCTGGTGTAGAATGGAGCCTGCAGGATCCCGGCTGGGAACACAATCTCATTCTTGGTGGGGGAGTAGTAGGCGTTGACAGTTGGTGGTGTCATACTCCACCTGCAAGTAGGGAGACCGAAGTGAGTGAAACATGTCAGTACAACAGACATACCCATCAACAAAGTTTCAGACAGAAGGCTAGGGCCCCTGTGATACCTTCCATTTTCAGTCCACCACACTATGAGCCAGGAGCACTCAAGTGTGGTGGATTGAGCACGGGTCCAGGACCCCCCTGCCAGAGACCATCTAGGGAGGTGACACCAATTCAGCTTCCTGCACCACCTCCAGCCTCCATGACATGTAAAAAGGACTCCCCGGTCCAGCCCCCCCCCGGTCCCAATCATGCCTGGATCTCAGAACTCCCCTTGGCACCACTTACTGGTCCTTGTTTGGCGGTTTGCGCAGCTGATCGGAGGTCACTCTGGCCGAGAAGTTATAGAACAGCATGACGTTCTGGAAGTAGAGATCTGGAGTCACTTCATACTGTGGGAGAGACCAAAGTACAGGTTAGTGTGACATCAGACAGAACATGTCCTTTAGGACGAGCTCCAAGAATCCAACAGAGGAGATTCAACCATACACTACAAGATGGCTGCCTGGCTCCGCCCCTCCAACCGATGTACACACCACCAATCAGAGGTGCAGCACTGACCAGAAAGGTTTCACAGAGAATGCCAAGTAATGATCAATGCCCCCGTTCTCATGCACTGTCCCCCCAAGTAGTGATCAATGCCCCCGGTCTCATGCACTGTCCCCCCAGGCCAGTGATCAATGCCCCCGGTCTCATGTACCATCTTTCCCAGGCAGTGATCAATGCCCCTGTTCTCATGCACTGTCCCCCCAAGAAGTGATCAATGCCCCTGTTCTCATGCACTGTCCCCCCCAAGAAGTGATCAATGCCCCTGTTCTCATGTACCATCTTCCCCAGGCCAGTGATCAATGCCCCTGTTCTCATGCACTGTCCCCCCAAGAAGTGATCAATGCCCCTGTTCTCATGCACTGTCCCCCCAAGAAGTGATCAATGCCCCTGTTCTCATGCACTGTCCCCCCAAGAAGTGATCAATGCCCCTGTTCTCATGCACTGTCCCCCCAAGAAGTGATCAATGCCCCCATTCTCATGTACCATCTTCCCCAGGCCAGTGATCAATGCCCCCGGTCTCATGTACCATCTTCCCCAGGCAGTGGCTCGGCTAATATCTGCCCCTCCCCCAGCCCTCCTCTCACACTCACATCATTGAACACTTTATCCAGCTCCTTGGGGTCCATGATGAAATTTGGATAGCCAATCATATCGTAGATTGCTTCAGCCTGAAACAAATAACGTCAATTGATTACAAGAACCCAGCGCTAGATAATAGTCGGGGCAAAAGCAGACAGAAGACACTTTATGTGATGGCAAAGCCCAGCTCTGTGCAAGGCGACCTTCATTAGTCAAATCATTAAACTCCATCACCAGTCGGGATATTCTGCAGTGTGACAAATGACGTCATACAGAGATCGGTATCTGCAGACTTTGATGTCTCACCTTTTCTCTGGCAGCTTTCCTCGTATCTTCATCCATCCAGCTCAGCGTCTGCAGACTCTCTTCAAAAGCCTTCTTTATACCTTTAATCATCTGCACAGCCTGCACCAAGCACACCACATCTCAGAGGAGGCAATAAAATATACATCACTGGAGAAAGGCTTGAACCCTCTCTGGGGAAGATGGAGCCTAGAGAGGACAGAGCCCTCACCGGGGAGGATGGAGCCTACAGAGGACTGCAGAGAGGACAGAGTCCTCACCGGGGAAGATGGAGCCTACAGAGGACTGCAGAGAGGACAGAGCCCTCACCGGGGAGGATGGAGCCTACAGAGGACTGCAGAGAGGACAGAGCCCTCACCGGGGAGATGGAGCCTACAGAGGACTGCAGAGAGGACAGAGCCCTCACCGGGGAGGATGGAGCCTACAGAGGACTGCAGAGAGGACAGAGCCCTCACCGGGGAGGATGGAGCCTACAGAGGACTGCAGAGAGGACAGAGCCCTCACCGGGGAGGATGGAGCCTACAGGACTGCAGAGAGGACAGAGCCCTCACCGGGGAGGATGGAGCCTACAGAGGACTGCAGAGAGGACAGAGTCATCACCAGGGAGGATGGAGCCTGCAGAGGACTGAATCCTCTCTGGGGAAGTTGGAGCCTACAGAAAACTGCAGAGAGGACAGAGTACTCACTGGGGAGGATGGAGCCTACAGAGGACTGCAAAGGACCAAATCTCCTCCAGGAAAGTTGGATCCTATAGAGAACTGCAGAGAGTACAGAATCCTCTCTGGGAAGGTTGGAGCCTACAGAAAACTGCAGAGAGGATAGAATCCTCTCCAAGGAAGTTTGAGCCTGCAGAAAGAGTCCTCACCGGGGAGGATGGAGCCTACAGAGAACTGCAGAGAGCACCGAATCCTCTCTTCGGAAGTTGGAGCCTACAGAGAACTACAGAGGACTGAGTCTGTAGGCTTCAACTGCCCCAGCGAGGATTTGGTCCTCTGCAGTTCTCTGTAGGCTCCATCCTCCCCGGTGAGGACTCTGAAGCCTACAGGGAAAACTGCAGAGAGGACAGAGTACTCACCAGGGTGGATGAAGCCTACAAAACTGCAGAGAGGAATGAATCCTATGGGAAGTAGGAGCCTACAGTGAACTACAGAGGACCAAATCCTCTCTGGGGAAGTTGTCCTCTGCAGTTCTCTGTAGGTTTCAACTTCCCCAGATAGGATTTGGTCCTCTGCAGTTCTCTGTAGACTCCATCCTCCCCGGTGAGGACTATGTCCTCTCTGCAGTTCTCTGTAGGCTACAGAGAACTGCAGAGAGGACTAAATCCACTCCAGGGAAGTTGGAGCCTACAGAGCACTGCAGAGAGGACAGAGTCCTCACCGGGGAGGATGAAGCCTACAGAGAACTGGAGAGAGGACCAAATCCTCTCCAGGGAAGTTGAAGCCTATAGAGAACTGCAGGGAGGACTGAGTCCTCACCAGGAAAGATGGAGGCACTCCAAGAGCTACAGAGAATCAAATCCTCACCAGGGAGAACAAAGCCACTTAGTATTGGAGAGAGGACAAAATCCTCTCCGGGGAGGATGGAGCCTACAGAAAACTGCAGATGACAGAATCCTCTCCAGGGAAGTTGGAGCCTACAGAGAACTGCAGAGAGGACAGAGTACTCACCGGGGAGGATGAAGCCTACAGAGAACTGGAGAGAGGACCAAATCCTCTCCAGGGAAGTTGAAGCCTATAGAGAACTGCAGGGAGGACCAATCCCTTACCAGGGAAGATGGAGGCACTCCGAGAGCCACAGGAGGATCAAATCCTCACCAGGGAGAACAAAGCCACTGAGAATTGGAGAGAGGACAAAGTTCTCACCAGGGAGGATGGAGTCACTCCGAGAACTGGAGAGAACACTGAATCCTCACCATGGAAGATGGTGCCTACAGACAACTGCAGAGAGGACCTAGTCCTCACCGTGGAGAACTGAGCCTACAAAGAACTGCAGAAAGGACAGAGTCCTCACCGGGGAGGATGGAGCCACTCTGAGAACTGGAGAGGAACAAATCCTAACCAGGAAGGACTGAGCCGTTCCAAGAACTAGTCCTCCATCAGTGAGATTTCAAAAATAGGACTCCACTCACACTGAGGCACCTTGACATACAATTACAGATTGCTTAGTGTTCCTACCTAGCCTGCCCCACTCCCCAGATCTCCAACCCTCATCCCCAACTCATCCCTCCTGCCTTCAGTCCCCATATCCCCTACCCTTGTCCTCCACTCCCTAGATCATTTCTCCTTAACCCCCCCCCCCCCCCCAAACCTCCCCTCTAGTCCCCACTCACCAGTTCTCCCACCCTTGTCCCAAACTCTCCTCTCCCCCCCCAGTACCTAGATCCTGCAACCTAGTCCCCAACTCCAAAGTTCACTCCTTTCCCCAGTCCTCCCTCCCATTCAGGTCAGTATCCCTTGCTTTCAGCTTTTCCACCCTTGTCCCCATTACCCAACTCTGCCCCACCACACCACTACACCCTACCTGATCAGCCAAGCCCCCACCCCATCCCCATTTCTTAGCTTGCCCCCTCCTTTCCCCACACTTACCCGTGGTTTGCCTGTTTCGGCAAACATACTCTTGACAAACATGGCGCCCAAAGCGAAGCCCAGATTGATATCCGTGTCACCAATGCAGAACTTCCAGCGCGGGGTGCAAGTCTGTAAACAAAACAAAGGATGGTTCTGATGGAAATCCAATAAAAAGAAGATGGCCATCACTGCTGCAACGCAAACCTTATGGCGACCGACACACCAGGGCAGATCGATTTTCTACCCATCTATGGCTAGCCTAACAGCCCATAGGACGAGCCTCCACTGTAAGTGATGTAATCAGACGGGACAGCAGGGGGCACTGTTCTACCCATAGACTGGAGGAGGAAAGTTGAGTAACAAGTCGGCGCAGAACACGGGAAATGGTCAAAGCAAAACATTCGGCAAGATGGAGATCTTGTCCCATCCCTGGGAGTTGTTTGCATTCCCTGGACCAGGGGGATCCCTTTCCTTCTCTGCATTACCATTGAGCAGTGATTGCACTTTACCGATTCGAGGATAGAGGAGCTCCTGTCATCACCAAGCAGGATTCCCCATTTCTCAGATATTCGACTCCCAGGGGGAACCTTTCCAAGTTCATGAAATGCAACAACCAAAATATGAAACAGCAAAAACCGAGCACTGCTGAAAAACAGGCAACCCTTCCCTCCTCTACTGGAAATGATATCAGGGTGCTGCAACAAAGGGGTTCATGTGCATGGCAGGAGTCGAGTTGGGCCCCCCAAAGAAAAGTTGGGCCCCCCAAAGAAAAGTTGGGCCCCCCAAAGAAAAGTTGGGCCCCCCAAAGAAAAGTTGGGCCCCCCCCCCCAGAAGAGATGTGCTCTCTGAGGTTAGACCGTTGGAGTTCAAGGAGTGCACACTTCCTGCCAGATGCCGAAACTGGAATCCATTCCTATGAAGTGACATCCAGGTGACTTCCTGGACCCGGTTTGCTTCTCGTCAGTGTGCGACCGAGACCGCAGAGCGGGACCGAGACCGCAGAGCGGGACCGAGACCGCAGAGCGGGACCGAGACCGCAGAGCAAGACCGAGACCGCAGAGCAAGACCGAGACCGCAGAGCAAGACCGAGACCGCAGAGCAAGACCGAGACCGCAGAGCAAGACCGAGACCGCAGAGCAAGACCGAGACCGCAGAGCAAGACCGAGACCGCAGAGCAAGACCGAGACCGCAGAGCAAGACCGAGACCGCAGAGCAAGACCGAGACCGCAGAGCAAGACCGAGACCGCAGAGCAAGACCGAGACCGCAGAGCAAGACCGAGACCGCAGAGCAAGACCGAGACCGCAGAGCAAGACCGAGACCGCAGAGCAAGACCGAAACCGCAGAGCAAGACCGAAACCGCAGAGCAAGACCGAAACCGGCCACTTCCTGCCATGGCAGAGATCTGAGCCCAGAACAAGAGGCTTCCGGCTCAGCACAGCCAATCACTACAGCAGAACAGATTCACCCCCCCAGCAACTGGACTACATGCCAAGATTCCCCCCCAATAACTGGACATGCCAAGATTCCCCCCAATAACTGGACATGCCAAGATTCCCCCCAATAACTGGACATGCCAAGATTCCCCCCAATAACTGGACATGCCAAGATTCCCCCCAATAACTGGACATGCCAAGATTCCCCCCAATAACTGGACATGCCAAGATTCCCCCCAATAACTGGACATGCCAAGATTCCCCCCAATAACTGGACATGCCAAGATTCCCCCCAATAACTGGACATGCCAAGATTCCCCCCAATAACTGGACATGCCAAGATTCCCCCCAATAACTGGACATGCCAAGATTCCCCCCAATCTCCCAGATAACTGGACTACATGCCAAGATTCCCCCCTGATAGCTGGACGACATGTCAGGATTCCCCCAATTTCCCAGACAACATGCCACTGCATGCCAGGATTCCCGGATGTCCCAAGGGTCTGACCGGCCAGGATCCCTCACCTTCTTGGTTCCATACATGACTTCCAGGAACTTCTCTTCAACGTCCTGGAACCTCTGATCCAACAGGGCGCTGGTCTTCCGCACCAGATTCCACATCATGTAGTTATTCAGGATCCTGGAGGAGAGAAGATCCGTTGTTGGTTATTTGTAACTCCTTCACGGATTGGAGTGTGGATTACTTCATCAGGGGGGCCTGCCTGGGGGGATACAGAGGGGCCCCTCGGCCCTACTGGGAGAGGGATACAGAGGGGCCCCTCGGACCTACTGGAAGAGGGATACAGCGGGGCCCCTCGGCCCTACTGGGAGAGGGATACAGAGGGGCCCCTCGGCCCTACTGGGAGAGGGATACAGAGGGGCCCCTCGGCCCTACTGGGAGAGGGATACAGAGGGGCCCCTCGGCCCTACTGGGAGAAGGCAACAGAGGGGCCCCTCGGCCCTACTGGGAGAGGGATACAGAGGGCCCTGGAGTTCCAGAGGCTTCCACTGCAGATCTGACCATGCAGGTTGCCTGGCTGACAGGTTAGTCCGATGCTTTGGGGCTCCTCCACACTTGTTTGGATCCCAATAATTATTGCAGATTACTGCCCTTCAATGTAGAGGCTGCAAGTACAGAAAATACCTTTTGATCCTTCCGGAAACCCGGTGTCCTTGTCACTTCCTGTGTATTGAACCAATATCTCAGTGTTATCAGCCTTCCCAGCCGGTTTCTGTAGACTACAGAACACCTCCCCCTATGCTCTAGTTGAGAGAGGGAGTAGTACCGTAGTCCGGTCCTAGGGTGACACTAATCCTCCATAATTACAGTACAGCCGGTGAGTGTTGTCACCCTGTGGCAGGAAGTGAGCTACTGGTAGGTTCACCAAGTGATAAAGTAAAAAAGTCTGATCAAAGAAAACTAATGCAGCCAGCTCACCTCAGGACTGTATGCAGCAATGTGACTTTTGTGCTCATGTTTAGAGAAGCTTTCGGTCAGAACATTCTGGTCACACGCCTCAATGTACCCGAAGAAAGGTCAGCAACGCATTGCACCACAACGCATTGCACCACAACGCATGCTGCACAGGAGCACAGGTAGCTCTGCGTGTTACTCTGAATGACACACCAATGACCATTGTACACGGAGGCATCACATGGAGAAATGCAGGCTGTACCGTGCGCCATCGCAATGCACATGTGTGCAGGGGCCACAGGAGGAACAGATATTCTATACAAATGTCGACAATGAACCCTCCCTGCCCCCACCCATTACACCGTCATGGAGAGATCTCCATCCACCATGATCAGCGTACACCAGTGAAGAGGAGCCGCGACGGAAGCTGGCAGACTTGTTCCTACCTCTTGTCTGTGTTATTGATGAGACTGGACACCTCAGACAAGTATTCCTTAGCATAGACCACCACGGGCTCAGTCTCATTGATGTCTATGGGGCGAAAGACCGTTCGGAGGAAGGGTATCCAATCCACGATGGGCATCAAATCCTGGATGGAGAGAGAACACAATCATCTTACATCTTGGCCTCCTCCAGCCTGGCCTCTCCCCCAGCCCGGCCTCTCACCCCTCGCCTCTCACCCAGCCCGGCCTCTCACCCAGCCCGGCCTCTCACCCAGCCCGGCCTCTCACCCAGCCCGGCCTCTCACCCAGCCCGGCCTCTCACCCAGCCCGGCCTCTCACCCAGCCCGGCCTCTCACCCAGCCCGGCCTCTCACCCAGCCCGGCCTCTCACCCAGCCCGGCCTCTCACCCAGCCCGGCCTCTCACCCAGCCCGGCCTCTCCCCCAGCCCGGCCTCTCCCCCAGCCCGGCCTCTCACCCCTCGCCTCTCCCCCAGCCCGGCCTCTCACCCCCTCGCCTCTCCCCCAGCCCGGCCTCCCACCCCTCGCCTCTCCCCCAGCCCGGCCTCTCACCCAGCCCGGCCTCTCCCCCAGCCCGGCCTCTCACCCCTCGCCTCTCCCCCAGCCCGGCCTCTCACCCCTCGCCTCTCCCCCAGCCCGGCCTCCCACCCCTCGCCTCTCCCCCAGCCCGGCCTCCCACCCCCCCTCGCCTCTCCCCCCAGCCCGGCCTCCCACCCCTCGCCTCTCCCCCAGCCCGGCCTCTCACCCCTCGCCTCTCCCCCAGCCCGGCCTCTCCCCCAGCCCGGCCTCTCACCCCCTCGCCTCTCCCCCAGCCCGGCCTCTCCCCCCCAGCCCGGCCTCTCACCCCTCGCCTCTCACCCAGCCCGGCCTCTCTCCCCAGCCCGGCCTCCACCCAGCCCGGCCTCTCACCCAGCCCGGCCTCTCACCCAGCCCGGCCTCTCACCCAGCCCGGCCTCTCACCCAGCCCGGCCTCTCACCCAGCCCGGCCTCTCACCCAGCCCGGCCTCTCACCCAGCCCGGCCTCTCACCCAGCCCGGCCTCTCACCCAGCCCGGCCTCTCACCCAGCCCGGCCTCTCCCCCAGCCCGGCCTCTCCCCCCAGCCCGGCCTCTCCCCCAGCCCGGCCTCTCCCCCAGCCCGGCCTCTCACCCAGCCCGGCCTCTCACCCAGCCCGGCCTCTCCCCCAGCCCGGCCTCTCACCCCAGCCCGGCCTCTCACCCAGCCCGGCCTCTCACCCAGCCCGGCCTCTCACCCAGCCCGGCCTCTCACCCAGCCCGGCCTCTCACCCAGCCCGGCCTCTCACCCAGCCCGGCCTCTCACCCCTCGCCTCTCCCCCAGCCTGGCCTCTCACCCCTCGCCTCTCCCCCAGCCTGGCATCCTACAGAGATGGCCATCTCTTCTTTAGGTTTCAATAAACACAGGATATTCCCTGATCTACAATGACCACACCTGTACAGGTAGAAGGGGCAAGGCTTTCCCTGTTAGCAGTCTGAAGCTTTATCTGTACCAAAGCCATTACCTGCAATACAACACAGCCAACTCTAGGAGGAAACCGCAAACAGGATCATAAAGAAGACCAGCAGACCTAGTCACAGCTCTCCAGAAGATGATCTAATGGGAAGTAAGGGACTGGAGACCATAGAAAGTCTTTGGGTCTATGGCTGTGACCTGCAGGTCTAGGCAGAAGGGGGGTGCAGTGCAAGGCTGTGCCCTGCAGGTCTAGAAAGTCTAGGGGTGTAAGGCCATATCCTGCAGGTCTAGAAAGACTCGGATGTAAGGCCATATCCTGCAGGTCTAGAAAGACTTGGGGTGTAAGGCCGTGTCCTGCAGATCTAGAAAGTCTTGGGGTGTAAGGCCGTGTCCTGCAGATCTAGAAAGTCTAGGGGTGTAAGGCCGTGTCCTGCAGATCTAGAAAGTCTAGGGGTGTAAGGCCGTGTCCTGCAGATCTAGAAAGTCTAGGGGTGTAAGGCCGTGTCCTGCAGGTCTAGAAAGACTTGGGGTGTAAGGCCGTATCCTGCAGGTCTAGAAAGACTTGGGGTGTAAGGCCGTATCCTGCAGGTCTAGAAAGACTTGGGGTGTAAGGCCGTGTCCTGCAGGTCTAGAAAGACTTGGGGTGTAAGGCCGTGTCCTGCAGGTCTAGAAAGTATTGGGGTGTAAGGCCGTGTCCTGCAGGTCTAGAAAGACTTGGGGTGTAAGGCCATATCCTGCAGGTCTAGAAAGACTTGGGGTGTAAGGCCATATCCTACAGGTCTAGAAAGTCTAGGGGTGTAAGGCCATATCCTGCAGGTCTAGAAAGACTCGGGGTGTAAGGCCATATCTTGCAGGTCTAGAAAGACTCGCGGTGTAAGGCTGTGTCCTGCAGGTCTAGAAAGTCTAGGGGTCGGGGGTGTAAGGCTGTGTCCTGCAGGTGTTCTGTAAGCAGTGTAGGTCTAGAAAGACTCGGGGTGTAAGGCTGTGTCCTGCAGGTCTAGAAAGACTCGGGATGTAAGGCCGTGTCCTGCAGGTCTAGAAAGACTTGGGGTGTAAGGCTGTGTCCTGCAGGTCTAGAAAGACTCGGGATGTAAGGCCATGTCCTGCAGGTCTAGAAAGTCTCGGGGTGTAAGGCGGTGCTTTCTTCAGTTCTGGCTCCTCCCCATTTCTGATACAAAATTCCCTTACAGATTATTTTCTAGTAGTATGGCCCACCAAGGAGCACACTCATTTCAGTACAATAAAGGGACTCGGTAAGGAGTTTTAGAAGTCTTGGGATCACCTTCAGCTCTCCCGCGGTGATCTTGTGGTAGATAAGTTCCTCATCTCGTCTCTTCTCCTGCGGAATGGTGATATTGGCCAGGGCTGTCTCAAAGTCCAGGATCTCCTGCATCTGCTGGCGTGTATTGTTCTCCTCCCCACCTAGGAGGACTCCCAGCTGCACCATGAAGTTGAGGTATCCAGTAAGAACCTACAGAATGAAAAGCAGTGAGTCAGAAGAGGGACCTGGGGGACATCCAGGCAGAGACATCGGCCATGGCCTGGCACTCACCTTCTCATTAGCCGTTTTGTTCAGGTAATATTCTCGAGACGGTAAACCCAATCCAGATTGGTCTATCTGGGAGGAGAGAAGAGACCACTCAGAGCTGTACATGGGATAAGTAGAGAGACACCCAACAAGAACCTCAAAGGGTAACTTAGACCTCCCCTCCCCCGCCCGGGCACTATGGAGTCCCCGAGCCTCACCTGGATGATGTTGCTGTTGGAGTTCTTGGAGTCTGCGCTAACAAACACCGAGAAGAAGGGCGAGACTCTGTAGTAGGCAGTGATGGTTTGAAGGGTCTCCTGGAAGTTGTCCTTATCCCATGGACCAGTGATATTCCACCCACCAAGCTGGAAGACACCCCCGATATTAGAGATACAGCGCAAGATTACTACAAAGGACCAATCAGAAACCTTCCAACTCTGCATGAATCTGATAGGTCCCAATATACAGGAACAGGATCATTGTTCAGAAACACTCCACCCTTTTATCAGTAGCCGTCCTGCAGCTCCAGTGACTGTGCCTAGGCTGAGATGTCATCAGTCTGCTGCAGGGAGGAGGAGGCATTTCCTCAGTCTCCCCTCCCCCAGTGATCACACTGTACATCACCTTCTCTAAGAGGTCTTGCAGCGGTTTGGCGCCGAGCTCCACGATTTTGGACTCATTCATACAGGCCTGGTAGTATCTCTGAGCTTTGTGCTCGGCAGCACTGCTGAAATTCGTAGTTTTGTTTTCTGCAGAGAAGGAAGAGAACAATCGTGTCAGCTGAGCAGGACACATCTATGCTGAGGTCTCATCTGATTATATTTCACCTTCCCTGCCCCCCCTCATCACCACGTTCATGATATTACATACGGTATTTTAGACCTGATAACACTGGGTCTCTGTGCTTTTCTGTGTAACGCAGGCAGATCATAGCTGGTGGGAGGGGGTGCTGGTTCTGGGGGCTGTACAGAGCTTCTTAAAAAGAATAAAATTTGAGCTTGGAGTTCATGTCTGATGTAAACATAGGCTGGAGAGGAGTTCAATGTTCTGTCGTAGCCCGGGGTGAGGAGTGTAATCTGTCTGGATGGTTGGTGGTCAGTGATAGTAGTGCTGCCTAAGGCCACCATCTTCCCCTCATCTGGGCAGAGCTGCTAGTGGCAAGACAGACACCCAAGGAGGGCCCCTAGCTGCGCGGCAAGACAGACACCCAAGGAGGGCCCCTAGCTGCGGGCCAGAAAAGCCACCCAAGGAGGGCCCCTAGCTGCGGGCCAGAAAAGCCACCCAAGGAGGGCCCCTAGCTGCGGGCCAGAAAAGCCACCCAAGGAGGGCCCCTAGCTGCGGGCCAGAAAAGCCACCCAAGGAGGGCCCCTAGCTGCGGGCCAGAAAAGCCACCCAAGGAGGGCCCCTAGCTGCGGGCCAGAAAAGCCACCCAAGGAGGGCCCCTAGCTGCGCGCCAGAAAAGCCACCCAAGGAGGGCCCCTAGCTGCGCGCCAGAAAAGCCACCCAAGGAGGGCCCCTAGCTGCGCGGCAAGACAGACACCCAAGGAGGGCCCCTAGCTGCGGGCCAGAAAAGCCACCCAAGGAGGGCCCCTAGCTGCGGGCCAGAAAAGCCACCCAAGGAGGGCCCCTAGCTGCGGGCCTGAAAAGCCACCCAAGGAGGGCCCCTAGCTGCGGGCCAGAAAAGCCACCCAAGGAGGGCCCCTAGCTGCGGGCCAGAAAAGCCACCCAAGGAGGGCCCTAGCTGCGGGCCAGAAAAGCCACCCAAGGAGGGCCCCTAGCTGCGGGCCAGAAAAGCCACCCAAGGAGGGCCCCTAGCTGCGGGCCAGAAAAGCCACCCAAGGAGGGCCCCTAGCTGCGGGCCAGAAAAGCCACCCAAGGAGGGCCCCTAGCTGCGGGCCAGAAAAGCCACCCAAGGAGGGCCCCTAGCTGCGGGCCAGAAAAGCCACCCAAGGAGGGCCCCTAGCTGCGGGCCAGAAAAGCCACCCAAGGAGGGCCCCTAGCTGCGGGCCAGAAAAGCCACCCAAGGAGGGCCCCCAGCTGTTGGAGGGAAGACTGCCATAGCGGGGCCCCAACCAGCAATAAAGCCAGCAGCTCAGCAACTCCCATCCAGTACAAACAAAAATGACTATCTGCAGCACTGACACTGGGGGAGGGGAAGCCACACTCAATGCTGAAGGTCACAGAAATTCCCAACCCAGATCTGCCATCAGTGACGTCATCTCGCCATACCAGTCCTGTGGAAACATCAACTCCAGCATGCCTAAAATCACAAAATCTGCTTCCTCATAGCAGAATGCTGAACACATCTACAGAAAACAGACATGACGGAGACAACGGCGTCCAGGAAACCCCCCCCCCCCCGCTCACCTTTCATAGGTCACAGAAAGCAGAACAACCGCCACAATATATTCCCCGGATCATTGCCATATCCTCCAATGGAGACTCCCCTCACTTCCTGCCATGGTGACGTGTGTCACCAAAGCAGGAAGTGAGGGGAATCATTTCAGGGGCTCAATTGGGATTGCTCTTTTGGTAGAACTGAATGTTTGGGAGGGGGGTTAGTCTCTTTGGGTGCAGCTGGTGAATGTGGGGGGAGGGGTCTTTTTTGGATGGAGCTGAATGTTTTGGGGAGTCTCTTTGGATTGAGCCATTGGTTGTTTGGGGAGTTCGTCTCGTTGAATGGCGATGAATATTGGGGGGGGGGGGTTATTTTGGTCTCTGTGGATGCAGATGGTGATTGTTCCGGGGGGGGGGTCTTTGAATAGAGTTGAATATTGGGGGGGGGGGGGTTATTTTGGTCTCTGTGGATGCAGATGGTGATTGTTCCGGGGGGGGGTCTTTGAATAGAGTTGAACATTGGGTGGGAGGGTCTCCAGATGAAGCTCAATGATCCGGAAAAGATTACAATACAGAAATTGCAGTTTCGCTGTCTATGAAACACCGAGATCTTTACCCAGAAGATCGGACGTCTCCAGACCGACGAGGGACGTTTCCACGAGACGCCTCCAGACCGACGAGGGACCGTTTCCACGAGACGCCTCCAGACCGACGAGGGACGTTTCCACGAGGCGCCTCCACACCGCTGAGGGACGTTTCCACGAGACGCCTCCACACCGCTGAGGGACGTTTCCACGAGACGCCTCCACACCGCTGAGGGACGTTTCCACGAGACGCCTCCAGACCGACGAGGGACGTTTCCACGAGACGCCTCCAGACCGACGAGGGACGTTTCCGAGACGCCTCCAGACCGACGAGGGACGTTTCCACGAGACGCCTCCAGACCGACGAGGGACGTTTCCACGAGACGCCTCCAGACCGACGAGGGACGTTTCCCACGAGACGCCTCCAGACCGACGAGGGGACGTTTCCACGAGACGCCTCCAGACCGACGAGGACGTTTCCACGAGACTCTCCAGACCGACGAGGGACGTTTCCACGAGACGTCTCCAGACCGTTTCCACGACCGAGACGACGATGGACGTTTCCACGAGACGTCTCCAGACCGACGAGGGACGTTTCCACGAGGACGGACGTTTCCACGAGACGTCTCCAGACCGACGAGGGACGTTTCCACGAGACGTCTCCAGACCGACGAGGGACGTTTCCACGAGACGTCTCCAGACCGACGAGGGACGTTTCCACGAGACGTCTCTCCAGACCGACGAGGGACGTTTCCACGAGACGTCTCCAGACCGACGAGGGACGTTTCCACGAGACGTCTCTCCAGACCGACGAGGGACGTTTCCACGAGACGTCTCCAGACCGACGAGGGACGTTTCCACGAGACGTCTCCAGACCGACGAGGGACGAGACGTTTCCACGAGGGACGTTTTCCACGAGACGTCTCCAGACCGACGAGGGACGTTTCCACGAGACGTCTCCAGACCGACGAGGGACGTTTCCACGAGACGTCTCCAGACCGACGAGGGACGTTTCCACGAGACGTCTCCAGACCGACGAGGGACGTTTCCACGAGACGTCTCCAGACCGACGAGGGACGTTTCCACGAGACGTCTCCAGACCGACGAGGGACGTTTCCACGAGACGTCTCCAGACCGACGAGGGACGTTTCCACGAGACGTCTCCAGACCGACGAGGGACGTTTCCACGAGACGTCTCCAGACCGACGAGTTTCCACGAGACGGTCTCCAGACCGACGAGGGACGTTTCCACGAGACGTCTCCAGACCGACGAGGGACGTTTCCACGAGACGTCTCCAGACCGACGAGGGGACGTTTCCACGAGACGTCTCCAGACCGACGAGGGACGTTTCCACGAGACGTCGAACGAGGGACTCCAGACCTCCAGACGAGGGACGTTTCCACGAGACGTCTCCAGACCGACGAGGGACGTAGACGCCTCCAGACCTCCACGAGGGACGTTTCCACGAGACGTCTCCCGACGAGGGACCCACGAGACGTCTCCAGACCGACGAGGGACGTTTCCACGAGACGTCTCGAGGGACGTTTCCACGACGTCTCCAGACCGAGGGGACGTTTCCACGAGACGTCTCCAGACCGACGAGGGACGTTTCCACGAGACGTCTCCAGACCGACGAGGGACGTTTCCACGAGACGTCCCAGACCGACGACGAGACGTCTCCGGACTATCCATGCAATGCAGAACACCTTCCCAGTAAAGCAACGCACAACCTCACCAAATACGGAATCCAACCCAACACTCACCCAGCAGATGCTTCATGACGGCTTGGTTGTGCTCCCAGAGCTCATTGAAGGTCCCCCAGCGGGAATGGCCATCAGGGACGGGGTTGGCTTTGATCCACCCACCACAGGCATAGCTGTAGAAGTCCTGACAGGGATCAACGGTGGGATCCAGAGAGCGCAGGATGGAGCTGGTGACCGAGATGCAAGATTCTGACAGGCAGATGCGGTTTTCTGGAAGAAAACATTGTAAAAGGTTATATTCTTATTTCAGCTACGAGTAATCTGCAACACATTCATCAATGAGGCCCCAAAGTTCTAGAATATAGTTTATGGGTGGGGGGGGTCCAAAAACGTCATCTCTATCCCCAGCTTCCTAAACTATCTGTATACTGAGGATGCCATGAGGGGTTCTGTATAAAAAAACGGGGATGGAGCGGTGGATTGTTTGCTAGGACATGGAATTCTGATGGGGGAGGGCACGTCAATGGCCGAGGGCGCGTCAGTGGCCGGAGGGCGCGTCAGTGGCCGGAGGGCGCGTCAGTGGCCGGAGGGCGCGTCAGTGGCCGGAGGCGCGTCAGTGGCCGGAGGGCGCGTCAGTGGCCGGAGGGCGCGTCAGTGGCCGGAGGGCACTGTGCTAAGAAAATCATATAATGATCATGTAAGACTACAGGTATAGCTACAGCCAAGTTCTGGGTACAGCAGGGAAAAGCTAGAAGCTCTGTTGTCGGTGTTCCCATTTGGAGGTTCCCTTCACGTCCTGTTCCAGAGACAAGGAAATTCACTTGTCACCAGAACAATTGTCCCTGCTAGAGGACTTCCCATCTACTCCTGTTCTGGTGACAACTCAAAATTTCATCCGTTTCCTCTCAGTCGTGATGACGATGATCAGCAGGACAAACGGAAACAGAATTCCCAGAGAATTAAATAGGAGTACACGGTTCTTTGGTGACAGAAACAATAATCAGCCCTCTGAAAACCGACCCTCAGAATAAGCAGTTACCAGGGTACAGAGAGTCCATCACCCACTCACCCAGTCCCACCATCAAGGTACAGAGTACAACACCTCTCTCCCCAGTCCCACCATGAGAGTACAGCAAGTTCAAAACCACCTTCCAGTCCGACCATCAGGGTACAGAGTACAACACCGCTCTCCCAGTCCCACCTCAGGCCCAACACCTCTCTCCCAGTCCCACCATCAGGGTACAGAGTACAACACCGCTCTCCCAGTCCCCACCTCAGGCCCAACACCTCTCTCCCAGTCCCACCATCAGGGTACAGAGTACAACACCGCTCTCCCAGTCCCACCATCAGGGTACAGAGTACAAACACCGCTCTCCCAGTCCCACCTCAGGCCCAACACCTCTCTCCCAGTCCCACCATCAGGGTACAGAGTACAACACCGGTCTCCTAGTCCCACCATCAGGGTACAGAGTACAACACCGCTCTCCCAGTCCCACCTCAGGCCCAACACCTCTCTCCCAGTCCCACCATCAGGGTACAGAGTACAACACCGCTCTCCCAGTCCCACCATCAGGGTACAGAGTACAACACCGCTCTCCCAGTCCCACCATCAGGGTACAGAGTGCAACACCCCGCCCTCCCAGTCCACCTCAGGCCAACACCGCCCTCCCAGTCCCACCATCAGGGTACAGAGTACAACACCGGTCTCCCAGTCCCCACCTCTGGCCCAACACCTCTCTCCCAGTCCCACCATCAGGTACAGAGTACAACACCGCCCTCCCAGTCCCACCTCAGGCCCAACACCGCTCTCCAGACCCACCATCAGGGTACAGAGTACAACACCGGTCTCCTAGTCCCACCATCAGGGTACAGAGTACAACACCGCTCTCCCCCAGTCCCACCTCAGGCCCCAACACCTCTCTCCCAGTCCCACCATCAGGGTACAGAGTACAACACCGCTCTCCCAGTCCCACCATCAGGGTACAGAGTGCAACACCCGCCCTCCCAGTCCCACCTCAGGCCCAACACCGCCCTCCCAGTTCCCATCATCAGGGTACAGAGTACAAACCGGTCTCCCAGTCCCACCTCTGGCCCAACACCTCTCTCCCAGTCAGTCCCACCATCAGGGTACAGAGTACAACACCGCCCTCCCAGTCCCACCTCAGGCCCAACACCGCTCTCCCAGACCCACCATCAGGGTAACAGAGTACAACACCATTCTCCCAGTCCCCACCATCAGGGTACAGAGTACAACACCGGTCTCCTAGTCCCACCACAGGGTACAGAGTACAACACCGCTCTCCCCAGTCCCACCTCAGGCCCAACACCTCTCTCCCAGTCCCACCATCAGGGTACAGAGTACAACACCGCTGCTCTCCCAGTCCCACCATCAGGGTACAGAGTACAACACCGCGCTGCTCCCCCAGACCCACCTCTGGCCCAACACCGGTCTCCCCAGTCCCACAGTCAAGGTATGGGGAGTCTAACAGCACTCTCCAAGTCCCACCATCAGCTTATAGAGAACACTACTCTCCAAGTCTCTCCATCACCACCACCCAATCCCACAGTCATGGTACGGACAGTATCCGTGATCTTCCAGACCTGCCATCAAGGTATGGAGCCTAGCAACCACTTTTCCAGTACCACGTCAAGTTTCAGAGGGTGCAACACCCCAAACACTGCTCTGAGTCCCATTGTTGGAGTACAGAGTCCTATCACCAAGGTACAGAGTCTTACAGCACTCCCCCAGCCCCACCATCACCCCCCTCGTGCCCCCCCAGCCCCACCATCACCCCCCTATCATCCCCCCCAGGGAACCCCCCCAGCCAGAACCCCCGAGGCACCTACTGCTTCTATACTGCAGAGCCAGAGACAGCAGACACACCAGGAAGCCCGATGCACAGGATGGCGACCAGGACCAGAAGCCTCTTCTCCACATGTGTCCTTTGCGTCCAGCAGCTGGTCCTGTTGCGGGTCCCTCGCAGGTTGACCTGTAAACGAACATTTCCCACCAGTTAGTGCTGTCAGGGGGGTAAGGCTGCATGTCTGGATGGTGATGTCACATGAAGGACGCTTCCAGGAGCACAATGTGAGGAAACCACAGAGAACCCAACACCTGACCATACATGACATCACACATTCCTGGCATACCCATCACTCACCTTCCATTACCCCACCCCTGAGTACAGACCTACAGAGTCATCCGGATCGGGACCTAAACTCACTTCAGGAACTGCAATGTGTAAGGCTTAGTGAGGTTACAAGAAGTTCCCTCTAGTGGTCACCTCTAATTGTCAGGCAGTGCAATCACCATCTCGCTGGAAAAAAAAAAAAAAAAAAAAAAATACACCTTCATTTCGCCTTCCCTGACTCCAATGCATTTCACCAAAATGGTAAAATTTTATCAAACTTTTCAGATTTTTGCCGAAATTTCTGGGAGACAAAACATTTGTTTTCTCTCCCTCCATACCGGGCTCCCATCCTCCTCCTCCAGACGCAGTTGGTGTCAGTAGCACTCCGCTGAGCGCCAACTTGTGTAAGCAGAGATGGCGAATGGTTTTACATCTGTTTGGATAAAGGATTAGAAGAGGCTGGAGAAGGGCCAAGCAAGATCTACTTGGGGGCCGCTTAGAACATTCTCCAGAAGTATCAAAACCGATTCCACGGGTCGCTGGCGCCACTCATTCCAAGAGCCGGGAATGTGCCGTCTGCAGCCACGTCGTGTACAGTCATTGGGTGGAAGAACCTTCAAATATTCCCACCACTGCCTCCACCCACCCACAATACCCCCCCCATATGGCCTCCGCCCACCCACAATACCCCCCCCATACGGCCTCCGCCCACGATACCCCCCCCCCCCCCATATAAACGGCCTCCGCCCACGATACCCCCCCCCATACGGCCTCCGCCCACGATACCCCCCCCCACCCCCCCACCCCCTACATACGGCCTCCGCCCACGATACCCCCCCCCCACATATACGGCCTCCGCCCACGATACCCCCCCCCCCCCACATACGGCCTCCGCCCACGATACCCTCCCCCACATACGGCCTCCACCCCACGATACCCCCCCCCACATACGGCCTCCGCCCACGATAACCCCCCCCCCCAGATACGGCCTCCGCCCACGATACCCCCCCCCCACATACGGCCTCCACCCACAATACCCCCCCACATACGGCCTCCACCCACAATACCCCCTCACATACGGCCTCCACCCACAATACCCCCCCACCACATACGGCCTCCACCCACAATACCCCCCCCCAACATACGGCCTCCACCCACAATACCCCCCCCACATACGGCCTCCACCCACGATACCCCCCCACATACGGCCTCCACCCACGATACCCCCCCACATACGGCCTCCACCCACGATACCCCCCCACATACGGCCTCCACCCACGATACCCCCCCCCACCCCACTACGGGCCTCCACCCACGATACCCCCCCCCCACATACGGCCTCCACCCACGATACCCCCCCACATACGGCCTCCACCCACGATACCCCCCCCACCCCACATACGGCCTCCGCCCACGATAACCCCCCCCCCCCCCAGATACGGCCTCCGCCCACGATACCCCCCCCCCCCCCCCCCACATACGGCCTCCACCCACGATACCCCCCCCCCATACCCTCCACCCACATACGGCCTCCACCCACAATACCCCCCCCACATACGGCCTCCACCCACAATACCCCCCCACATACGGCCTCCACCCACAATACCCCCCCACATACGGCCTCCACCCACAATACCACCTCACCCCCCCACATACGGCCTCCACCCACAATACCCCCCCACATACGGCCTCCACCCACAATACCCCCCCCACATACGGCCTCCACCCACAATACCCCCCCACATACGGCCTCCACCCACAATACCCCCCCCACATACGGCCTCCACCCACAATACCCCCCCACATACGGCCTCCACCCACAATACCCCCCCACATATGGCCTCCACCCACGATACCACCCCCACACATATGGCCTCCACCCACGATACCACCCCCACACATATGGCCTCCACCCACAATACCCCCCCAGATGTGGCCTCCACCCACAATACCCCCCCCCCCCCCCCCAATATAGCCTCCACCCTGAAAACCCCCCAGATATTGCCTCCACCCTGTGAAAGTAACTAGAGGCAGAAGTTGTGCTTTTTTGTTTTAAATCTTGGGTGGAGTGTGGAAGGGTTAAAAAAAATATCTTTCAATGAGGACAAGAAATTTCCTCTTCTTGTTGAGTCTAAAGAATAGGAAGTGACGGAAATCTCCACCATAAGAAGTTCTAATCATTACTCACTCCATCCAGCAAGAAAAGATTTGCCCTTAGATATACTCGAACAACCCCCTCCCACCAAGTACCCCCCTCCCAACAAGTACCCCCTCCACCTCCCACCAAGTACCCCCCTCCCAACAAGTACCCACCTCCCCCTCCCAACAAGTACCCCCCTCCCAACAAGTACCCACCTCATCCTCCCCTCTGACACCAGCTACCCACCTGTCCACCAAAAGGCACCAACAACTACCCACCACATCCCCCTCCCAACCAAAGACCCACCTTCATCCCTCCCAGAAAACTGAACTACCGCCTCCCTCCTCCCAACAAGTACCCGGCGCCACCACACCTACCACCTCCCAACAAAGACCACCTCCCACCAAGTACCCACCTCCCAACAAAGACCACCCACCTCCCTCCACCTGCCCACCAAAGACAGGCGCCACCGCCTCCACCTGCCCAACAAAGACCCAGGCGCCACCCCTCTGCCTCCACCTGCCCAACAAAGACCCGCCTCCACCTGACCAACAAAGACCCCCCGCCTCCACCTGCCCAACAAAGACCAGGCGCCACCGCCTCCACCTGCCCAACAAAGACCCGCCTCCACCTGCCCAACAAAGACCAGGCGCCACCGCCTCCACCTGCCCAACAAAGACCAGGCGCCACCGCCTCCACCTGCCCAACAAAGACCCGCCTCCACCTGCCCAACAAAGACCCGCCTCCACCTGCCCAACAAAGACCAGGCGCCACCGCCTCCACCTGCCCAACAAAGACCAGGCGCCACCGCCTCCACCTGCCCAACAAAGACCCGCCTCCACCTGCCCAACAAAGACCAGGCGCCACCGCCTCCACCTGCCCAACAAAGACCAGGCGCCACCGCCTCCACCTGCCCAACAAAGACCAGGCGCCACCGCCTCCACCTGCCCAACAAAGACCCGCCGCCTCCACCTGCCCAACAAAGACCCGCCTCCACCTGCCCAACAAAGACCCGCGCCACCTCCTCCACCTGCCCAACAAAGACCCCCGCCTCCACCTGCCCAACAAAGACCCGCCTCCACCTGCCCAACAAAGACCCCCCCCGCGCCTCCACCTGCCCAACAAAGACCAGGCGCCACCGCCTCCACCTGCCCAACAAAGACCAGGCGCCACCGCCTCCACCTGCCCAACAAAGACCAGGCGCCACCGCCTCCACCTGCCCAACAAAGACCAGGCGCCACCGCCTCCACCTGCCCAACAAAGACCAGGCGCCACCGCCTCCACCTGCCCAACAAAGACCAGGCGCCACCGCCTCCACCTGCCCAACAAAGACCCAGGCGCCACCCCTCCTCCACCTGCCCAACAAACCACCCACCGCCTCCACCTGCCCAACAAAGACCAGCCCTCCACCACCTGCCCAACAAAGACCCGCCACCGCCTCCACCTGCCCAACAAAGACCCGCCTCCACCTGCCCAACAAAGACCAGGCCTCCACCTGCCCAACCCCGCCTCCACCTGCCCAACAAAGACCAGGCGCCACCCCACCGCCTCCACCTGCCCAACAAAGACCAGGCGCCACCGCCTCCACCTGCCCAACAAAGACCAGGCGCCACCGCCTCCACCTGCCCAACAAAGACCAGGCGCCACCGCCTCCACCTGCCCAACAAAGACCAGGCGCCACCGCCTCCACCTGCCCAACAAAGACCAGGCGCCACCCCGCCTCCACCTGCCCAACAAAGACCCAGCGCCACCTCCTCCACCTGCCCAACAAAGACCCGCCACCGCCTCCACCTGCCCAACAAAGACCAGGCGCCACCGCCTCCACCTGCCCAACAAAACCATCCACCAGGCGCCACCGCCTCCACCTGCCCCGACAAAGACCAGGCGCCACCGCCTCCACCTGCCCAACAAAGACCACCGTCCACCCCCAACAATCAGCACCCGCCTCCACCTGCCCAACAAAGACCACGCACCGTCCACCTGCCCAACAAAGACCAGGCGCCACCGCCTCCACCCCCACAAAGACCCCACTCCACCTGCCCAACAAAAGACCCCGGCCACTACACCCACCTCTGCTCCCAAACAACCCACCTACTCCTTCCCATTTCCTCAATAAAACATCCAGCTAAGTGCATCCACCAACCCTTCAACATCCCCCGACAACTATATCACTGCACCGTCCATCCCCGACAACTATATCACTGCACCGTCCATCCCCGACAACTATATCACTGCACCGTCCATCCCCGACAACTATATCACTGCACCGTCCATCCCCGACAACTATATCACTGCACCGTCCATCCCCGACAACTATATCACTGCACCGTCCATCCCCGACAACTATAATCATTGCACCGTCCATCCCCGACAACTATATCACTGCACAACTTTGTCCATCCCCGACAACTATATCACTGCACCGTCCATCCCCGACAACTATATCACTGCACCGTCCATCCCCGACAACTATATCACTGCACCGTCCATCCCCGACAACTATATCACTGCACCGTCCATCCCCGACAACTATATCACTGCACCGTCCATGAGCCCCGACAACTATATCACTGCACCCTGTCCATCCCCCCCAACTATATCACTGCACCATTTCCCCCCCCCCACCGCCGTCCATCCCCCCAAGACAACTATATCACTGCACCGTCCATCCCCGACAACTATATCACTGCACCGTCCATTCCAACAAAAACCTCCAGTT